GCATCTTCTTGTTACACCAATACCTATCGTATACTTGGCTGTAGAATGATAAATGTCTCCGAAACAGTAGCTGTAGCTCCTAAAGCAACGCGGTGCAGTGTAATAAGATTTGCTAATGTGTAGCTGGAAATAAAAGGAGGAGCTGGGATTTATGGAGTTGCACCTTGGAAATTTTAATAACAAGTATTCAAATGTCTCCCGGAGATCGCAGGTTGGTCCAGTGAAATGGATAGATAACAGATGTATGCAGTTTGCTGAGGAGGAATATTGTACAAATATGAAACTTGGTGATGTTTGCTAGCAAAGAAAGGCACTTTGATAGGAAACCATGTTAGCCTGCAGATAACAGGGCTTTCTTTTTTCCTGCCTATAATGACAATTTCAAATCTATAGGTGTCTGTGCTTACGTAAAAATAAGGGGGGAGGGGAGGCAGTTTGAACTGAGCCCCTTGTGGACAATATCCTGCATGACAGTGCCACAACGTAAAATAATTAGATTTGGAGGCTTGATCCTCTGGTGCTTGTATGTTGTGTTCTTACCCCTGGGAAAGGTTGATTTAAAACCCCGAGTGTCTGATGCCTTGCACTGTGCGTGACTGTAAGGGACAGTGTCGGCCCATGAATAGCGAAGCTCAGGCTGCGTCTTTGCTGTGAAAGGATCAGGAATAAGGTAAAATGAAAACTAAAATCTTAGTGTTAGATGCCAGGCTACAGAGATCACAGTTAAATTTACTTGAGGAGAAAGGAATTGGAAGTCGGTGGTTCCATGTACTTGGCCCATAAGTTTAGGAACCAGTTTATTTGGAGGTGGGGGGAAATGAAAGAAAAATAAATGCAGGTTTATGAAATATATCTTCTGCATCTATTAAAATTGATATTTATGTTCATGTGTTATATAGATAGACTTGTGCTTTTGCTGCGGCCTGGTGAAGGATTCTGTGCAGAAAGGGATGAAAGCTGCACTCGGTGTTTCAAATAAAAACAGAGCCGAGCGTCCGAATTCCTTTGTTGCTGTTGGCTCAGAGCACCAGCAGCCCGTGGCCACGGGGCGAGGAGCTCCTCGCTCCTTGCACATGTTAGTCTGTGCCACACAGAGCCATGGAGGGGTCACAGCCTGACTCTGGCTTTATTATTATTATTATTTTTCTTTTGTGGAAGGCTGAGAATAAAACACCATAAAGCAGACATGACTTCTCTGCTTTTTCACTTGGCTTGCCGGCCTTGACGGATCCCTGCGGGTTTGCTTTCCGACGACTGAAGCCAGAGGGACAGCAGTCGATATTGCTGAGCTCACCTTTCCAACTGATAAGCCCAGTCGTCAAACAGTAAATCTCAGCAAACCGCCCTGTCGCCATGCGGGTCCTGCAGGGAGCCTGTAAGGCCTGGCAGTCGCAGTGCTGGGTTTTGTAGCCAAGGAAGGGAGATGGCCGGCGTACGAGAAGCGTGTTCTGAGCTCACCGCTGCAGACATGGGGCTGGAGCCAGCGTGCAGTGTAGGGGAGCACCCGCTCCCAGTGCAGCTGAACCCGGCTGCGTTGCGCCACGAGCAGTGTCCAGCACATTCCCAGGGGATTCGTGCTGAACAGACATGTGGTTTCTTAGACGCTCCTCAAGTGCCAAGAGACTCCAGTGAGAGGGTTCTGTGAGCCCGGCTGTGCTGGACGGCCCTGGCGTAGCGGGATGTTGGCCCCTGTTTTAAGCTCGTGATTAACTGGGCTGCTCTGCTTGCTGTGGTGGTTGCAAGCAGGGTGACAGCCAGGAGCTTATCGGTGACTTGTAGCCGGGACCTTGACTCCCACCAGCATTGGTGAAAGGAATTTAAGCAATGTTCAAATTCCTAAACTTTGGCAAGAGACACAATGTGTGAGACAAATGGGTGGAAGAAGTGGAGGAAGGAGTTTTACTGACACCGCTGTCTGGTAGCGAGGCCTCGTCACCTTCCTTTGGCCCTGCTGTGACCACGCAGGGAGCTCATTGGCTCTGTAAGCTGGTAGAAAGTTACTGTTTTGCTCTGATTTGGCCTTTCTCTGGGTTAGTCTTCCAGCTGTCTTGGATGGCGCCCCCACGAAGAGCTGGGCTGTGTGTTCTGGGCTGTTGCATTAACAGGGTAACGCAAATGCAGTTACCTCGGTCCCGCTTGGGGGCAGGAAGGGCAGCAAGAAGGAGAGGAGCTCTGGGGAACTGCAGGTGCTGTGCAGACTCTAAAACCTGGCTGCACGTGGCCCTTCTCCTTCCATCAAATCTTCATTTGGTGGTTTATTCACTAGGAAAATATAACTGTCACTTAATAACTGGTTAACTGCTTGGCGTTTGCTATATGAGTATTAGCGCTCTCTCAAGTAGACAGTGCAGCCACTACAAACAAATAGCACTAGGCAGCAGCACTCCTAGTCTCTCTTTTCCTGATTTTTTTTTTCTCCCTTTGTATAAAAGCCTTTTTATTGACACCTTTCCATCATCAAGTCTGGTTCTAGCTCACCAAAGTTCTGAGTGGAGCTGCAGAACTCGGGATAGGGGGACTTAACCGAAGCCCCCAAAAGCTTCCTTTGCTTGCAGCCGCTTTCAAAGGGCTCCATAGACCACTGGGCTGAAAACTGCAGTTGTAAATCTGCTTCTGCTATACAATACATATAAATATGCATATATATTCTAAATGGCAGGTTGTTCTTTTGTCCAATGACTTCCTTAACATTTTTGCTATGGGCATAGCTGTAGAGTGGCTGTTTTTGTTTGTTTGTTTTCTTTTGTTTTCTGATAGAGTCCCCATTGAACATGGACTCTACCACTTTGAAAGCCCTGTTGGCAGAATGGCTCCCTCATGGACTTTATTTTCTGTGTATTGGTGTAAATACGCCCTGTTCTGGTGCAATGTCTTTATCTTTCCTGGAGGAAAAAAAAAAAAAAATCTCTGTGCTTGTAGGAGTAGGGAATAAAACCAATATCCCCTGATTGTGGTCAGACAGCAAAGACGGTAAATCACAGTAAACCAGTCCACTTTGGCCAATTAATGGAGCACAGAATGTTTAAAATGCTTCCAGTATTCCTGGTTGGGAGCATGGATGCGGCATTGTAGCAATACCGACCTTACCTGTCATGGCTCGCTTGGGCAGCTAGTTTGCAAACAAAAATCTGGTAGGTTCTTTGGGAAAAGAGGCCAGGTTTGAGATAGCTGATACAGGTCATGTCTTAGTAATGCTGGTGGGATCCTTTCCAGGGAAAGTGCATTAGCAGTGGAGTGGAGCCTTGTGCGCGCCGGAGTTGTCCCTCCCCTGTGTGTCCGGGAGCGGTGCTGGCCGGGGCGCGCGCGGCTGCTCGGCAGGGGTTTCCTCGCGCGCTCTGCTCGAGCTCGCGCGCTCGAGCGCCGCGCCGGCCCCGCGCGCCCCGCGCGCAGCTCGCCCCCCAGCAAGGCCCGCGCTTGGGCGGGAGGAATTTCTCACCCAGCGACGTCTCCGCTCGCCCTGCACGTGAGAAGGGGCCGTGCGTTGACACCTCAGGCCTCCACAAAGCAACCTCTGTCAGCACGAAACACCCAGCTGCAGGCAGGGGCTACAGCGCCGTGCAGGGGGGCTGCTTTGACGCAATCTGCCAGCCCTGAGAGCTGCCACTGCTGCTGGGTCTTTTGATCCTCGTGTACTAGAGATGTTTTGAGTCGGACAAAGCTAATGGTGCAGGAAGTTGCTGCTTTTGAAGTGGTGGCCGTAACTTCATTTCAGGAATGTTTTTAATCTGAGCTGTATAAATAAATAGAATTGATATTTCCAGCTGAATCAATTTAAAAAAAAAACTTCCAATAAGTTGAGGCTGCCTTCTAATGGCACACCAAAAAAAAGGGCATGTCAAATGCAGGTAGATGGGAAGAGGATGGCATACCAACGTGGTCAGTTCGGGGATTGTGATTTTTTTTTTTTTCTTTAAATCTATTTATAGACTCAGACAAGATGATGCCTCTTTTTCAGCATTAAGATGTCAATAGGAATAGCAGTAGCAACTGCTGATTGTTCTTTCCACTTTTCTTTGGACTTCTTGAAAGCTAGAATTTCAGGTGCTTTTTTATTCTTACTCATTACTGTGTAGATCTTATGACACCTTCTGCCCCCTCATAATCTTTCTTCGCAGATGAAAATTTTGTGGGCTGTTTTTCATACTAACTTGATCATCTTTTTAATGTCTAATTCTGTCTCTGAATATATTAAAAATTTATATATGCAAATTTATTATAATTTCCCCCAAACCCACAGTTTACTCATAGAAATTAAGTTGGTACCTTGAAGTATTTCAGAGATGCAAAGTGAACCCATTTAATAGATAAGCTGTTTCATAATCCAAATGGTGATATGTTTGAGAGCTATTTTGCAAGTTATGCAGGTAGTGACTTTTAAATATTCCAAATTGTTGTATTCATTCTTTTTGGTAATACTTCTTTTCTTTTTTTTTTGATAGGTCATCACACAACGAACTAGAAAAACATAGGTAAGTCTTGGAAAAAAAAAACGATATATAGCTAAAACTAGAATTACTATGCTTAAAGATAATGTGCTGAGAATTCTTGCCTCTGCGTTGAATCATTTATTATGCTTTTTAAAACATCAACTAATATCTAATAGCTATAATCTTACTTGGGGTTTTCTGTTGTTCAGTATGCTATTTTTGAAACATCCCTGATAATTAGCTTTTGACTGATTAATGCTGTAACTGGTTAAGTATTGGCTCACTGTTGCTGATAAAGAATCTGATTCCAGAAACTGCTAGAGGTGTTAAGTGTTGTAATACAACCAAAAGATGCTGGGGTTAAGGTAGATTGTCTCTGGGAACAACATGTTACATAGATGTCTTTATTTTTAAGCACACCTACTTTAAATACACTTAATTTTTGTCCTGTTGTTATCTTTTGAATGCAAGTGCCTATAAACGTACCTAGGTCTGTGTCTGCTCCTTCGCTGGTATATGTTCCCTTCCAAAGGACTGTGTATGGGCTGGAAAACACTAGTTCCCGAGTTGCAGCCCAGGTTCTGTGTGTTCAGTGCTGTGAAAAGCTGTCCTTATTCATTAAGGACACTCATTAGACCCCGCAGACCTGGTTTTTAAGGAACTTGTGTTTGCTCGGTTGTGGAAGCGATGTTTACCCTCGATACGATCTTGTCAGCGTGTGTTTGCCAAGGGGCTTTGCTGCTGCCGTAGTTCTCCTGAGGTGCTCTGCTCTGCAGATGTTAGAGCTGGAGAGCACGAAAGATGCCCCTCTTGGCACGGGCTCTTGGGACCCTGCTGCACAAGGTCCCTTTCCTTTTCCCTGTTGTGCAGGCAGCAGCATGGGCTGGTTTTTGGGGACTCTGTCCCTCTACCTTGTGGCACTTTGCCTCCCTGGATCCACGAGATCCAAAGGGTGTGAGTGTGAGTGGGACTTGAATCTATTCCCGTGCTTCTGAGGATGGAAGAAGTGGCTGGGAGTTGTTTCTGGAGCCATCAGCGCAGTTCTGAAAGGCAGGTCCTGCCCTCCATGTCTGCCTGGGCATCGCCCACAGGAAGACTGAACTCGATATGTTTTGTTTTGCTGTTGTTTTATCCAAATCTATTCTATATGCAGCAATTACTCAGCAGCTAGGCCATCACTTCCCTTGCATGCCCACATGCTTAACTGTAATATGAGTAAACCCTAGCTGTGCCTAGGAGCCATGTGGCTGTCCTAGAGACGAGAGGAACCGGGGACGCTCGAGTCCCCAGTGCAGCCCGGCTGGCAGCACCCAGCGGAGGCGCCGAGGGCGCCTGGCAGGTAACGCTGCAGAAAATGCCTCATACACAACACAGCCCTCTGGTTTCACTTCTTAACCGAAGCTTTGGCTTCGCTGCAGTCCTGCTTCTTTCTCACTTTCAGTTCCATTTCATTCTTTTTTCCCCCTATCATTATTGACTCGTCACTTTCAACTGCATTTTTTTTTTCTCCCAGTCATTCTTTATTTCAGTATGGGATTTCCTCTTTTTTCCTCATCTCTGCTGTAACATATCTAAGCAACATAGTAACTAAGGCAAAGTAGCTGCAGATGTAGAGGCAGAAGAAGGATCTATTAGTTGTTCAATTTCTGTTCCCACTTCCAGCTCTATATGGTGTCTTTGCAGTAGGTTTATGATGTAGCATTGGCCCTGCTGCCTTTTTTCTCATTGCATCTCAATGTCAAGATAGGTATATTGCAAAGTACACTTTCTGATTTTATAAATATTATTTATAACTGCTTTTTGTGGCTTGTAGAGATGTGCTATATGCTATACTTGAAACAAAATGTCATTAATCCTGATGATTGGTGTAAACCTGTAAATTAGTGCAAGTGGATGTGCAAATTGATGTTCACAAACATCAGCAGATGAAGTGTGTACTATTTCAGTTATAGGTATAGGTGTGATAAGTGCTAAGTGTTTTTAATAACCCCCTTCTCCAAAGCCATGGTCTTTATGCATCAGCAGTAGTGGCTGTGCTATTTATTGCTCCATTTTTACTAGAATTGCAGCAGTGGCAGCTGCTCTGCCTGCCCCAAACAGCCCTGCTGCCGGCTGGGGAGCTCTGCATGTTGATTTGGGAGGCGGATCCTTTCCAGGACCTCTCCAGGACCTGTGCCCTTGACTCAACGCGGCCGCGATGCTTCCGGCTCGTTCACACTTGGTTTCCAGGGAGGAGGAGAGGAGACGGCGGCTCCTGCGCCCCGTGCTGCCGTAAGCCGCTAGGCATCCCTCTCCTGCCCGTCTGGTCTCGTGGGGCTGACGTGCCCAGGCACCACAAGGAGAAACACGAATGTGACTGAGCTCACAGCCCGGTTGCCCACGTGAAGGTTGTGGGCTGGATGGAGAGCTGGAGGAGCGGGGAAGGACGCGCTGGCTTCCAGGGCCCACCCCGCTGGGCGGCGGAGCCGGGGGCGAGCCTAACGAGGCCGCGCTGGCGCCCTTGCGGGTTCCCTGTCTGTGCCCGTGCCCGGCGGAGGGTTCGGCTCCGGTTTGGGCTCCTGGGCAGCGGCGCTGCTGGCTCTCTGCATGCACAGGCACCACGGCTCTAACTTGAGTTTGCTGCTGCCGGGTCTCCGGGTGCTCTTGTGGGGATGCTCAGGGGAAGATAAATAAAACCAGAGACATAATTCCAACAAAACCACAGTTATACAATAAACTCTGACTACAGGTAGGATGGAGTGTTTGTCAGCGGTTCACATGTCAAATTCTTTTCCTCCTGTCCTTAATAGGACCCCCTGCCTTAGGACGTCTGTGTGTGTTCGTTAGGATTCAGCAGCTTATTGGCTGTCCCCTTTTGGTCCTGGGGAATTAAGCTTTACATCTGCAGCCATGAAACAGGAAACACGTTAGGTAAAAAGTGAGAAGGAAAGAAGTCTTCTGTCCTAAGGACAGTTGGTGTGTTATAAGATATTTTAATGATAAAGATAGGTCGGTTAGAATGGAACTCAAATGTAACATATCCACTGACTTGGTAAAATACATATTTGTGTGTATGTATGTGTGTGCATATATATATTTAATAGTTTCCAACCAGAGCATCAGTAGCCTTCCGCTGAGCAGTGTAAATAGCAAGGACATTAGTATTTATCTTAATCTTGACGTTTTGCAAGAAAACTCATAAATGCACCTAACTTGATAGCTACACAGAGGAATGCAATGTTCAATTTTTAAAAAAAAAAAAAAAAAATTAAAATAACCCCCTAGGGACTTAGGCATCTTAAAGGTAAAGCACAATCACTCATTTACATTAATTTTAACTAGTTCTACATAATGGTATAAGAAAACAAAGTATTTCCCCCCTAAGATAGTATGGAGATCCTGTTTGTTACCACATGAAGTCAGTGAGTCATCTGCCCTCTGCTCTTCATGTGAGGACTTGTCCCTCCAGCTGGTGCAGCAGTGTAGAAGGAAGTGGCACTTCTCTGTGATGGTGCATCCTTTCTTTTATTTTCTTTTTTATTTTTTTCTTTATTTTTTTGTAAGCAGAAGTCAGAAGGACCCCTGAGAAGCATATCCTGTGACTGGCCCCTGGGGCTCCTTCCCTAAGTGATTTCATTCCTTCTGCCTTGTTGGTGAGCTTCTAACCCTGGCACAGTTTGAGATCTTACCCTTTCTGTGGCAAGGTCTTTGAAAATAGCTCTTGACACTAAATGTTTTTAAAGAGCAATTTTAAGAATTAATGATTATTGAATAAAATACTTAGTCAATTCACAAGCTGACAGCTTGGGGTTTGCCAGTTTCAAGGCAAAGCCTAAGTGCTTTGGCTGGATGGAAGTGGTGAGGCTTGATCTAGATGGACTCTTACCCTTCACATTTATTAAACCATTTGATTTTTTTTCTTGTAGGATTTTGTTTGTTTTATAATCAAGAAGGAGAGGGAATGGATCAGCAGTGGTAAAAATTGTCCCGTCTTCATCCTACAAAACAGGACACCCCTGGGAAGCACGGGGAATATAATTAAGAGGGCACTAATTGATGGCTTTGGGCACTGGAGATCTCTGATTTTGCAGTGCTCAGCACAGCACATTCTGCCTTGCAAGTGCTCTCTGGCTCAGAGGGATCAGCAGGTTCCAGTTAGTGATGTTACGCAGCATAAATCCGTAAATGCATCGATCCATCAGGTTTAACGGTTGCAAGAAAGCTTGGGAAATCCTCTAACTGCTGCTGGCTGGAGGCTGGGAAGTGTAGAGTGCTTCCAGGGGTGGTTCACTTGGATATCATGTTGCTTTTCCTGCTGTACTTCCATCATCTGCTTAATCCAGTGCAGTTGCACAGCAGCCTCCTGCTTCTTCCAGGGCAGGACAGGGTGGAGAAGCTTCTTTTTCCAGGCAGTCCCTTTTTCGGCTGCAGCTCACGGTCACAGAGCAGCCCTGATGCTGGCACAAGGAGGAGGTGGTGGCTCTTCCTTGAGTGACAGGGTTTCTTTATGCTGTGGGACAGGACAGTTCAGTCCTGTGTCAGTTTAATTGCTCCTAACCACCCAGTTCTGGCTGCTGCTGCACGGGGAGCACTGAACTGCTGACACAGTGCAGATTATAACATTATGTTATAATGGGTCTGTAAAAACTGCTGCTACTTTTAGGATGTTTACAAACTATACATGAACTATCCAAATAATGAGACTGGTAGATTAGTGGTGGGAGCCACCTAGGCTTAACCCTCATAGTTCAAGTTTCTTTTAGCTTGTGTATCAAAGGCTTTACAGAAGAACTGTAAGATCCATAGACTCAAAAACTTGATCCTATGTTGCTGTTAAATTGCCCGTATTTCTCAGTCTGATTAATCCATGGAACTAAGGAAATAAGGCTTAGAGCTTTGCTCTGAAATGCTCTGCTTTCCTCACCCTTTCTTCCCCTCTAGGCATTTGTCAAGTCTCAGGACCAGGGGCTTGTCTTGTACTCCGTGCTGTGTTTGTAAATTCCAGCACGCTGAAGTATCACCTCTTGGAGCACACAGCAACGTGGCGCTCATCCCACTCCCAA